TCTTATGCGTTTTAAAAAATTTATAGTTTATAATTCACATTAAAATTAGCGTTAGTACTGTTATTCTTCATATACTGATGATATACTGATTATTATTATTATCATCATCAGCTTCCTTATTGTCATCCCCATCCTCATTATATTCCCCATTATAAGGAGGATGTTGATGATGATGAGGAGGAGAAGAAAGATGATGAGGATGATGGTGAGGAAGAAGATGATGGTGAATACGATTGATCATAATGGTTGTTGATGATAATGATGGTTATGGGAATGATAGAATATGATTGATGAGAAAGATGATGAGGTAAATGATGATTGATGATGGATGATGATGAGAAAGAAAATGATGCTGATAAGGATGGTAATAAGGAGAAGGATTAGGATGATGAGTTTGATGATGATGAAAATAAGGAGGATGATGATTATGATTGATGATAATGGTCGTTGATGAGGGTGATCGTAATAATGATGAGGATGATTGATGAGAATGATGTTGATGAGGTTAATGATGTCGAATGATGAGAAACATCCCGTCTGCCCCTCATCCTCATCTTTATTCTTGTCGTCCTCATTCTCTTCATTATCATCCTCATGATGAGGATGATGATTGATAATGATGATGATTAATAAAGATGATGATGATGATGTAGTTGATGATGAGGACAAGGATGATGATGATAGATGATGATTGTAATGAGGATAATGATGAGGATGATAATGACAATGATGATGATGATAATGAGGACGATGATGATGAATGAGTGATGATGATAAGTAGGATAAGGATGAGGTTGATGATGATGAGAATAAGGATGATGATGGATGATTAGTAGGATGAAGGTGATGGTGATGATGTTAACGATGATTGGTGAGGATGGTGATGAGGATGACACTGATGGATGAGGGTCAATGCCATAGCCAGGATTTTCAAACGGTGTGGGACAATATCAGAGCGGACCAACTTTACGTGTAAATTCAAACAATTTGGACCCATTTTATGCAAAAATATGAAGTATCTGGACCCATTTTTCTAACTTTTACCCATATTTAACTAAATATAAGGAATCTGGATCCATTTTATGCATAAAATTACATAATTTGAACCCTTTCATAAAATGTGGACCATTTTTTGTGAACCCATTACAAAAATGGTGTGGGACTGTCCCAACTGTGCCAATAGCTGGCTACGCCATTGATGATGACGTGGATGATGTTGAATGAGGATGAATATGATGATGAGGATGATGATAAAGAAAATGATGAAGAATGAGGAGGATGAAGATTATGAGGATGATGATAACGACGATAGATGATTGATGAGGACGTGATGAAAATGAGGACGATGACGATTGATGAGTATGATGTGATGATGATGATGGTGATGATTACAACGATCGATGATAGTAAGGATGATTATAATGATTAGACAACAATGAGAATGATGATGACGAATAGGATGAGGATGATGATGATAGATGATGATAATACTGTAATAATATCGATAGTGGTAATAAAAATATTATAAATAATATTATTATATAACAGTACTAACAATGTAATTCATTCTAATATTAAAATATAATTTTGAAATAACAGAAATACAATACAGTAATATATACATAATATTAT